TAACAGCAAGGACATAAACCGGCATAACCTTTTTGGATGACTGTTTGAAATGAATATACATCAAGGTCCCTAAACATGTTAATATTGTCTGATCTGGTGATAATCATGATAATAAATGTCATTTACTATACATTTATCTGTAACTCAGCCTATAATTCTAGTTCTTTTCTTTGACATTGTTTCATTTGTGCTGCAGAATTTCTGAAATGTATTACAGGAATATATTCTAAATGAGGGATTGGTTTAGCCCTTTACAGAGCATCTACTGTGGATAGGCTGAGCACTCACAATTTTGAATGCAGAAGGAGAGCCCCGGTGAGGGAAGACTTAGCCAGTGTGCTATTCTAAATTGGATTTAGTGTCTTTCCCTTAGTTTTCAACCCTTGGAAGATAAGCTGTGCCAATCAGGTAGCTATGTGATTTGGAGCAGATTACTTAATGAATTACTTTAAGAAGTGGGATAAATAGCACCAGTCCAGGGTTGTAAAAAATGAGTTCATGCAAGTGATGGAGGCATAGTGTGGAAATTACAGCCCCACTTACATGCCATGGTTTGAAACCAACTCCAAGATAGAGACTGTATCAGAATCAATGGACCAGATGAGCTGACCTGTATGGCAGCCACCAGTCAGATGTGGCTTTTGAGCATTTGGAATATGGCTGTTCTGAATTGAGATGTGCTGTCGGTGTCAAATACCCACTGGATTATTTTGAGGACTAGTATGACAAAAAGAATGTAAAATATCTCAATATATTTTGTATGGGTTACATATTCAAAAGATAATAGTTGATGTATATTTCATGCAATAAAATATCCTTAAAATTCATTTTACTTTTTTTTTCTTTTTAAATGTGGCTACTAGAAAAATTTAAATCACATATGTGATTCACCATATATTTCTACTGGACAGCATTGGGCTTGACACTGAAGAAGGAAGAAAGTTTCCCTCTGCCATTTAAGAAGTGAAAACTTCGCTCTGGACTGCAAAACCTCCTACCTGGAGCCAGGTATCTGTTAGAGATTCCTCTCTCCCCACCCCTATCCTCACCCCCCACTTAAATCCAGGCCAAGTACATGATGCTAGTGTGATCTAAGATGGAAATTTGTTCTCAACAGACTGCTTACATCTTTTGAGGGTTTCTCCTGGCCTCTCGGAATGAACACTGCACTCCTTAGCAAGGCAGTGTAACCTGGCTTTGCCTGCCTTCCTTCAGTTTCACCTGCTACCTGTTTTTCTCCAGTTTCTTGTGTGTATTGCATTTCCAACATAGCCTATATGTTTGCATTTGCTCTTCCTTTTCCTGGAAAGGTCCTCTGCTGCTTGTGCGCACATATACCCAAGGATTCTGCACTCCTCCACTGTTCTTAACTGGGTTGTCTTCCAAGACCTACTTTATCTGTCATGTCCTCTGAGATGCTGCCCTTGAACTTTCATCTTCTGAGTGTGTATCCTCCTCTTTGTGCCCCTAACCCCCTACCTTTCCCACTGTGAGGGATACTTACATTTCTGATGTCTTGCTGTTTTCCCTGTCCCCCTTACATGACTGTGAGTTCTTTAAAGGCAGGAACCTTGCCCTTTGCCTCTAATGCCAGGACCATCCCTAAGGCCTGGGACACAGAAAACTCTCAAAAGCTATTTGCTAATTGAATTGAGAAGCTGGTCAGGGGACTGACCAGGGCTCAACCGCTCATGGATCATGTATCAGTTAGAATTCTTGTGGATGAAAGTGACAGACACTTCCACTCTGGCTTTATTGGCTTCCTTGATTGAAAAGTCTATGTGTTGTTGAAGCTTCAGGTATTGCTGGATTCAATGGTTCAGTAGGTGTCACCAAAACATTGTTTTTATTTATCTCTCAACCTTTCCACTGTGCTGGCTCTATTTGAAGAGATTCTTTCCTCATGGTAACAAGATGGCTGAGGCCTGGCTGGTGTGGCTCAGTGGACTGAGTGCTGGCCTGAGAACCAAACAGTCAGCAGTTCAATTCCCAGTCAGAGCACATGCCTGGGTTGCAGGCCAGGTCCCCAGTAGGGACGTACACAAGAGGCGACCACACATTGCTATTTCCCTCTCTTTCTCCCTTCCTTCCCCTCTCAAAACAAATAAATACAATCTTTAAAAAAGATGGCTGAGAAGCATATCCTTGCATGTTCCAGTTAAAAATAAGTCACCTACTTTGAGAGTTCAAACAGAGAGTAGAATTTACTTCTGTTTACTCCGACTGGTCTGTTTGGGGCTTTAAGCCCAACTAATCAACTAATCATTTTTGCCTGTAGATAAGATGAATTGATTGCCTCAGGTGTGATCATGTGCTGAAGCCATGGAATTGGAATTGAGGTCTCAGTAGATTTGACTTCACCCAAGCAAGGGGCTAAAAGTGGAAGCTCCCTTAAAGTAACGTCGGGGAACTGTTTGTATCACAAAAGCAATGACATGGTCACTGTCGTGAAGGAAGAGCCTTGGGACAAGTTTGGTCTGATGCTGCTTCTTTTACAGAAGTGGACGGTTTAGGAACCATGGGTCTCCAGAGAAATTTATGTTCTCTCAATGGTATTGTTTTTCCTTTGTTTTGGCATTCCCAGGCACTCTCTGTAAAATGGGGTTTATCCTTGTGATATTTTTAGGTATTATAACCCATGTATGTCAATTAGAGAGATATAAGTCAACTAGAGAGGTAGTTCAGAAATACAAAATCTGTTTGTTAAGGCCTTGGCATCTTTCCTAATTTGTAAACTCACTAAAACTGAGAAATTTACTAAACTCCACATCTCTTTGTGGCGAAATGGGGCACACTGGGTAGAGATATTTGGTGTGCTTTGGAAGAACAAATCTTTAATATCAGGGACCTTCAGTTTGAGGGCATCTCATAGTAGCTCTTTCTATACAAATTCATTCATGCAAAACTTAATTGGGTTCCTACTGTTCCTACAGGCACTATTGTAGAGAGAGAGAGAACGAACCTGTAAACAAAACAGACTTCAGGGAGCTTACATTATAGAGGGGGAGATAGTCAACTAACACAAAATAAATAAGATACTTTCAGATTGGGATAAATGCTATAAAAAATTGAAAAACGTGAAGGAGAGAGACTGAGAGTGGCTTATTTTAGCGAGGCTGGCTGGGCATGTCTTTTCTGAAAAGGGACATCAGAGCTGATGCCTGAATGATGAGAAAGTACCAGTCACGCAGACAGGACTTTCCCAAAGAAGATGAGGGCTCAGCTGTCTCAGCTGCTCCTCGAGGTGGGGTCCCAGACCAGCAACACTACCAGCTGGGCGGGGGGTGTGATAGAAATGGAGACTCCCAGATTCTACTCCAGACCTACTGAGTCAGAATCTACATTTAACAGAATCCCCCAGGTGATTTGTGGGCACAGTAAACCCTGAGAAGTGCTGGACTCTTGACCCTTTCTGCACCCCACTGGAAAGGTATACATTCTGGAATGAGGCAGGAAGCAGAGACTGATGTTGTCAGCAGTCATTAGAAAGATGGCAAGGTAACATTTGCTGCTGCCTCTGTAACAGATCAGCCAGACTCTTAAGACCACAGTATTATTACAAGTTGGGGTCCAAGCCATTTCCTAGGTGAGCTCTCTTATTTTACAGGAGACTGAGGTTCTTCGAGGAGCTCCTTTGTGGCAGAGCTGAGGATCTAGGATTCTAGGAGTCCTCTCTATCTGTGCCACCTTCTAAATATTGACAAGGACAGGTTAGAGTGAGTGTGGAGGAGGGTGAGCAGCACCATGAGGTGGTTGGGAAGACTTAACATGAAGCACTGGAAATGTTTGGTATTGGTTTTTCATTCTGTGAGGGTGAACTAATAAAATCTCTGTGGGAGCCAGGTCCACTTACGGGGAAGCAAATTTCAGCTCAAGGCTAGTATCATTTCTGAGGTTCAGAGCTACTTAAAAATGGAAGTGCCTGGCTTACACAGTGAGTATTCACAATGCCCCCTTTCAAGTATTCAGTCATTGCTGGGGTGCTTGCGTGGATCAGGGTCTCCAAAATGGCAGTCATTTGCATCTTTGCATTTTTTGGGCCATACCCCATACCGCAATTTTTTAAAAACTGATATAAAAGTACATGTATAGTACACTAATCTTAGGTGTACAGCTGGATGAATTTTCACATGTCTATATTTTTGTTATCCATCATTCAGATCAAAATACAGAACCCTTCTAGCACCCTACCCTGTCAATAACCCCTCTCGCCCCTAAACACTTGAATACTGTTGAAATACATACTTCAATAACTATCAATTTGCAAGTCCTTGAACTGCGTGTTTCCACTTTTCCATATTTGTCTTTAAGTAGACTCATTTTTTAAAATAACTTTCTATTTGACGAATTAGTTTCTTCCTGTACCAACAGACCACATTTTATTTCTCAAATGCCATCAGATTTCTGAGGTCCTTTGCAACTCGAAGACTGTATGATTTTGTGGTGATTGGGTAGCCTAAAGTTCTCGGAATACATTGTCACAATCCTGGTGCGGTTATAGATCCATCCATTCATCCATATATGTAAACAACTTGTTGAATATCCAGCAATGGCTCTGCTAGGCACTGGACACAGAGCACACTAAACTCAACCTTCTGATGTTAAGTGGAGGGAAATAGAAGAGTAAATCATTTCAGTAAGTGCGGAGAGTGCAGGTAAGTGCCAGCACACAGACGAACGGCGGTTTCCGGAAGGCGGAGACGCGAGGGTGGGTGGGCACTTTCCAGGGCAGTCCCAGCCAACCACCCCATTTCAATCACTTTGTTATCACTTCGCAGCTGCACAGCAGCGGTGAGCAACCTCAGCTTTCCTTAGCAACCTGTGCGCACCGCCCAGGTGCCTGTCTATTGGTCTCAGGGAGCTTGACGGGCAGCTCTGCTGTGCAATCTCAGCTCTAAACCCTTGGCTCCGCGCTTACTCACGGGAGGGTTCTTTGGCGCTACTGCCCTCCCCTGGTAGCCCGCCCATCCCCGAGCGGCTGGCGGCGCATGCGCGGGGGGGACTCTGGTTGAGTGCAGGGGCAGCGCGGAGCCTAAGCAGCAGCTGCGGGCAAGCTCCTGGGCTCGGCGGAGACCGCAGTTCTTGCTCCCTGCCTCCGCCGCCGCAGTCTCAAGCCGTCGCCGCCGGGGGAGCGGCCGCCTATTGTCTTTCTCTGCGGCGAAGGTGCGGAGCTGCTCCGAATCCGCCCGAGGGGGATCCCCGGGCGCCGCACGGTGAGAGAGCAACTTAGTTGGTGGAGTTGGGGGAAGTTTTGTGATTTGAGGAGGGGTCGGGCGGGGAGCGCCGGCCCCTCCCCTGCGAACGCTGCTCCGGGCGGGGGAGGGGAAAAGGGATTTCGGGGGCGGGGAGGGGGCGCTGAAGCTGGCCGGCTCGGATGAATGGGCGGTGGCGGAGCGCCTTCGCCCCACCCCCCAGCTCTGCTGCCCCCTCCTCCCGCGGCGTCCCACCTCCCGCATTGTCTGCTTCGTGGCCACGGCGCGCGGTGCGGGGCCAGCAGCAGCCCAACTTCGGGGGCGTTCCATACATCCTTCCAGACCTGAACCCTTAGCCCTACGTTTCCCTCGGCGGCTCCGCAGGGGTCAGGGAGCGTCGGCTGCTCCGTAGGTGCCTCTCGTTCGACCGTGTCCGCTTGCAAGTGCTAGGGACGCGAGGGAGCAGCTCTCCTGGGCGGACTATAAACATGCCCGGCCGCGCCCGCCTTCGGGGGGCGCTTTTGGAGCCGGCTCCGGGGTGCGCGGCCGGGGATCCCTGCGGCTTGGAGACATGCGGTCGAGGGGATGCCCGTGCAACGGACTCCACAGTATACCGCCTTAAACTGCAGCCTTATTTTGAGACCAACCAAAACTTTTCTTTTTTGTCAATATGGCTTACGGACACTTATTTTTCAAAGTCAGCGAGTATGTGAAGAGCTTAAAAACAGTACGGGGAAAACCATCAAAATGTTTTTTCATCAGAAGAAACAATACATATTTTTTTAATTTTTGATTTTTGGAAATAGTTCTTGGAGCAAAATGGACCCATCACATTTACCTTACTGTGAACTTAGGATTCACAGTGCAAGTTGGATTGTATTTCTGGGGTTCATTGTTAGCTTTTGCATTCAGTGAAATTATTTTGAGAGCTTATTGCCCCAGGCATATAGAAATAAAAGAAAAAGCAATGTGCCCTTTAAAAAAAATTCCCCCTGTCACTTTATTTTCAGAAGAAGCAACTTACTCTGTTTTTCTAGAGCATCGGGTTGCCCAGATCAGGACAAATGCATACTGCTGTTTTTGAAAGATGATTTTCTTTTTGAGTTTGTAAAGGAGGTAGGATCAGCTGAGATAAATCACTGTTAACAGTTCTTGTAGTCCTTCCTGGTCTCTCTGAGATTTGCAGACTGCATTAAGTACAAGCCTTGTTGTTAAGTTTTGAGTGCATGAGTCTGCTGAATTTGGTTTATGTAGCTTATCATGTGAGAATAATTGTGTTTAAATACTCCAACTGGAACTGGCTTAAATGTCGATCAAATTCGTAGTGGAACAGAATGACTAGGATGGTTAGTATCAGTTGTTACATCCCTCTGCCATCTACTAAATTTAAAAGAAATTTGAGAGAGAGTGTGTGTGTCGGTTTGCTTTGATTTCTTTCTCATGTTAAATGAGTAATGTAGAGAAGTGTTCTGGGTTTTTCTGCTTGGTTGGCCTCATTTTGCTTTTAAAAAGCCAACTTTCTTCACCTGACAAAGCCAAAGAAAAATGATGTCCTTATGTCATAAGCATTGTACCTTTTTCTTTAATGCTTATATCAAGTATAATGCATATATCAACAAATAATAAGCATTGTACTTTAGAACTAGAGCAACAAGGTCACTTGCAGGAGTCACAGTCCTTGCTTTTAAGGCTTTCCTGTTTGGTCGTGTGCACCTTGTGCAGGGGGACTGTGGGGCATGAAGTTGACAGGGTTGGAAGGAGCTGTCAGGGAAGGAGAAAATGTAAACACCCACTATTACGACATAATGTGACAAATAGCCCATTTGCTTTCCTTCTCTCAACTGTGATAGCATGCTGTACATACTTTTGTTTTAGGGTTTCTCACACTTGGTTTATTTGCCTAACTAATGGTAACTATGTATGTAGTAGAAGTGAACTCCTCCTCTGGTCTGATTCCACGAGGCTTGTGATGGGCCTTACTATTTAACTTTGTACCCTCTTTGCCAGGAGGGAATCTTAACACAGTGCAGGCGTTCAGTATGTGTTTGAATTGGGTGAAGTGCTTTGTGCTCACTAGTGCTAGTGTACATAGAACCACTAACTCTGGGGACTTGTCCAAAGTGACAGTTCCCTGGCAGATCTCTGATGGAATTTACTTAACAAGGTTTCTAATTTTTCTTTTTACTCTGTTAATTCTTGAAGAGGTAAGAGGTTTATATAGTGCACTATGGATTTCAAAAAGTGGTTCTGATTTAGGAATTTTGTCCCTGTCTTTTGGTGAAAGGATTAAGATTGCTGGACAAGTTTATTCTCACTCTGTGTGTTCCTCACAGTTTAGAAGAACAGACCTTCTTTGAAGGTAGAGGTAAATGTGAGTTCAAATCCCCATACTTCCACTGACTAGTATAGCCTTTAGCAGGTCATTTAACTTCTCAAAGCTTGGCTTTTCTGTCATGGCAGGTGTAGTAGCTACTTTACTGTGTTTTTAGGAATAAATGGAATTGTGTGCCTAACATTAAGCAGGTGTCTGCTACCTGGTCATTGTAATGATAATAATTTTGATAAATTTTATATGACTTAAAATGCATTTTTAAAAGTCTGATGCTTTGAGTGTAGGAGTTTAGCTATTTCACAAATAAGGAATCCTGAGAATAGAGTCTTAATTAAATGCAGTTTTTTTAAGGTGTTACTTGGACTCTGTTAATAGAAACAACTTTGGCTTTTTCAGTCACTTGTTAGTCTTTGAGTGGGACTTGCAGAGTGGCTTGGTTGGGTAGAACTCCGTGCGTTTATACCATTTAGGAAATGGAATGTTTTCAACATTTGTGGTAGGATATCTCCGTTACTTAGACAGTGCCAGCTTTCCTTCCTTATTTTACCTTAGTCTTGAAAAGTAATAGATATGGATTATGACATTTCTCAAACTTGCTTAAGATAGAATTGGAGTGAGGGTTAATATGGTGTTGTTAGTACATTTCAGACATGAACAAATCACTCACTTCCCCTTCAATATAACATTTTTTGAAGGTGCCACCTTTTACGGAAGGAAGCAGTGATTTGAATGAGTCACACCAGCTCAGTTTAGAATATTCAGAAAACCAAATGGAAGCTATACATTCTAGAAATACTAACCTGTAGTGGACATTTTTGTATATTTAATCTCATATTTCCATTAAGAAGATTTTAAAGATTTTAAAATATATTTTTAAAGATATTTAGATATATAAAGGGAAGGAGAAAGAGAGGGAGAGAAACATCAATGTGTGGTTGCCTCTCCCACACCCCAACTGGGGACCTGGCTTGCAACCCAGGCATGTGCCCTGATTGGGAGTCGAACTGACGACCCTTTGGTTTTCAGCCTGCGCTCAATCCACTGAGCCACACCAGCCAGGGCCCGTTAGTTTTCTTATAACATAAGGATTTTATGTTTTACTTCGTATCTTATAAATAAGGGTTTTTTAAAACATAAGGTTATCCATTAGTTTTATAAAATAAGGATTTAACTATGAAGGATTATAATAAGCCTTTAAAAATTACATTTGATCACACTCACAGATTGAGGGGGAAAACATTCTTGACAAAGTCAGATGAACAGACTTGGATTTTTGATAATCCCTTTTTGAAAGTTAACATTTACGCGAACTTGAGCAGACTTTGGTTATTACTGGTCGGGACAGGTGTCCATTCGGAGGCAGTACCCCTTAGTTACTTGCTGTCAGGCTGTCCCCCCACTGTGAATGGAGAGAGATGAGGAAGCTGTTAGTGGAAGAAAGTTTGTTTCATTCCTGTGTACTCTCATTTATGGTCTTGTAGTCCAGATGGATTGGGACATAATAAGTAGAAGATGATGGGGAAGGTGGATGTCAGTGTGTTTGTGTGATGTGGGTATGGGTGGGTGGTGAGGGAAAAGGTGTGAGTGATTCATGATTTATATCACTCTGTACGCTCTTCTATTAGAAATCAGCCCTTTTCAATTTTGACTTCGGATTACATCATACACCTATATTTGTCGATAGCCTCTACCACCCCAATGGCCAGTTATTCCTGAACAGTTAGGAATTAAAAGAGTATGTCCCACTGTAGTTAATTTGTCTTCTAGACAGCTGAAGATGTCACGTTAGGGAAGAACACCTAGAGGTTATGTAAAGAATTCCACAGGACCCAGGTGATTCTTGATGGTGATGGCTACTAAAAGCACATGCTGTGGAGCCACATACCTGACTTCAGATCCAAACTTTATTGGCCGTGTGTCCTTGAACAAGCCACCTCATCTGCCTCAGACTTACTATCCTTAGTTATAAAATAAAGTGAACTTAATATTAATCTTGTCTGCTATGTGCTGCTCTTGCGAAAAACACATGGGATAAATCACTGTGCAAATACTGTGTTGTTTTGTAATTTTATTGGTTGGACACTGGTTTGGATAAAATTCAAATCCTAGTCTAAAAGGGAAAAACATCCAGCTAACTTTATTGGGTTTCTTTATAAAATTAAAATATTATACAATTTCTACTGACATCCTTCTTGCTTGGATAAATTGATACTTTTTACTTTTGGTGCTTCTCGTATTTCCTTTTACAACATATTTTGTCATGAAATATAGAAACTGTAAAGAAGTTTTAGTTCACAGTGCTTGCTGATAGATACCAGTTACTGTGAAATCTCAGGAACTGACATTGGACGCCAGTGATTGAAGTCAGGTGAAACCACAATGAACAGTGAGCAAAGCATGTCAGAATATTTCAGAAGAGTATGAAAAAAGATAGTGTAGTTGTGATTCTTTTAAAATTTCAGTTTCCTGGTTCATTGCTGGTATATAGAAATAAGATAGAAGCCCTGGCTGGCGTAGCTCAGTGGATTGAGCACGGGCTGCGAACCAAAGTGTTGCAGGTTCGATTCCCAGTCAGGGTACATGCCTGGGTTTCAGGCCATGGCCCCCAGCAACAGCACATTGATGTTTCTCTCTCTCTCTCTCTTTCTCCCTCCCTTCCCTTCCCTCTCTAAAAGTGGATGAATAAAAT